TTTTTTTTTTTTTTTTTTGGCATGTTTTGGGGGTGCTTTTAATTGTAATGACCCCAAAAAAGGGGGTGTTGGAAGCCCTGCTTGCTTCTTTGGTGGTTCCATGCATCCAGGGAGGCGCGGGACAATCGTTGGGGAGTCCCAGAGGACGGGACCTAGAGAGGAACTTGGTGGAGCTGGAGGGAGGAGGAGGAGAAGACACAAGAGCCGGGGCTGTTCCTGAGGCGCAGGCAGCTCCCCACAGGGSATATTCCCTTCGGGATTGGCGCTGGAGAGCTCCTGTCACCCGCAGGACCTGCCCGGAGGCCTCCCTGCTGCAAAGGCAGCCCCTGTGTGAGGAGCGGAGGGTGCAGAGGGAGGGCTGGAGATGGGCACGTCCGGAGGAACTTGTCCCGTAGGCCGTGGTCACGATGGCGACGACAAGCAGAGCCCCTTTGAGCAGGGCAAACCTTGATACTTGGGCTTATGTCCAGGCTTACATCTTCTGCATTCCCAGAGGGAATTACAGAGCTGTGGAAACCCAAGGTTTATGCCTCTAACTGACCATAGGCCTGACAAGGGACACGGACAATATAAGGAATGCTGGATCACATGGAAACCGATGGTTTCCAGACATAGGCACCCAGCTGGAGATACGTGAGCCCTAATCTTTAACCTTAGAGAAGACATCTGGGACATCAAAGCATTCCACGTTTTTTTTTTTTTTTTTTTTTTTTTTTTTTTTGATCTAACCATAGCTTAATCCAGGAGAAGAGTGTGTGTTCTCTCCTGAGCTGCCAAAGTGCACTGATTCCAAGAAACTTCAATTTTTTTAATGCATCATCACTTTCCGAGAGGATAACCAAGGGAGGGTAAAGGGCCTGAATAAGCACCCGGTGCACCAGCTGAACCTGAGAAGATCCAGGAGCAGCATGAGAAGACTTTCCTGGCGTGGGGGAGCTTCGGCAAATGGAGCGGGTGGATTGGGATGTTAGCAAAAGGTCAGGCTGAAAGATCTCCCTTGTTTTTAGAAACATCTGCAGCAAACAAGATGCTCGCCAAGCTGACAAGAACCCTCTTATCAATGGCCTYGCTCAGGAAAGTCCTTGTAAACTTGCAAGTTGCCAACGCCCCTGTTTCCCTGTTGCTCAAGATAGAAGAGGGACCGCGGGATGCATCTCCCTGTCTTCTGCATCCTGTTTACAGATCTCGTGGCCCTGGCTTCTCCCCGCTTAGATTTGCCTTTTCCTTACAGAAACACTCGAGACGCCTGAGCAAGACTCAAACAAAAACAGCACAGTGACTAAAAATAAACAGGAGGGAAGTAGAACTGCCTGCAGTAAGAGACTCAGCTAAGAAAAGTGGATGTAGGGAGGCTGTTAACCAGCAGGATAAAACCACGTGAGTGTTGAGGGACAGAAGAGGAATGTCATGTACAGAGACATGTACTGCACTGCTGAGATSACAAGCTGCAAAGCAGTTTAAGAAATAAGACTATCAATATGTCTTCRAAAAGACAGTGTAAAAAAGAGAACTAATGGAAGGCATTTGCAAATGTGTGGATTTTTCGCCCATGTTTAYGAATGTGAGCCTAAGCACAAACCACCATGAGATCTGTTGTTGCAAGGTGACAGGCAAAGTGATTTAGCTGGTTACACTGTGTAACCTGTGACAAGGATTTTGAGATAATCAAGGGAAGTCGCAAGAAAGAATACGGAAAAATGTAGCCTGGATCAAGCTTAATTTAAGAGAGATTCAAAGTAGTTCATAGTTCCCCAAAAAATGAAAACCAATGCATTAGTAGAAATTAGTAGAAATCATTTTTTTCTCAGCTATTTATTAAAAGACAACTTTTTGATACATTTAGGTACCTTCAAGAGAAATTCATTCTCATTTTCTTGAGAAAAAAAGTAATAATAGTAATACAGAGAAAAAGRTTCAGATGTTGCCTTGAACAGCTAATGTGATTTTTCCTCAAACATTATCTGTAGAAAATATAAAGCGGAGTGCATGTATTGATGTAACATGGCAATTATTAAATACCCCAAAGTTTATGTCTTTGTAACAATATGGTTGCATCTCAGATACTCAGAAGTTGACAAATTAAATGATGAACCAATCAGCAGATTTAAGTTGCACATATTACACATAGCCCATAAAATTCATTTCACCTCCACAAAAAGATATGCAACTGTTACTGTGCAGTAAAATTTTCTTGGATTTATAATTTTGTRAAGATTTTTAGTTAATGTTGTCAACTCAAAGCCACGACTGTAGAGCAAATAAGCAAGCTCAGAATGGCAATGCAAAACCTGCATACAAGTAGCTTAAGTTTCATTAGTGCTGCTTAAACATCCTACATCTTCGTGCGACAGGAAAGGTAGACAGATGGACAAATGGACATTTCTTTAAAAAAGTGAACAAATGTGTTTGCTCAAAGTGTGTACTAAAAATTTGCTAGCTGTTTTGAATCCAAATTACGTGTGCAGAAGTTTTATTGACAATGATGTTCTGATCCTAAAAGAAACCCATCCTTGATTATGGAATATTACACAGATGTTGAAAACGTTCCTTGCCTCTCTGACAACCAGCAAAGGGACTGTGTGACTCTACTTTTAGGAATTATGTTTGCATGATGTCCTGGTTTGCAGTAGCATTAAGACACTCTCATTTCTAYGTCACAGACGTTACCCCACTGTCGAAGTGCGAGCAAAGGCCTTCAATGGATCTACGCACGTGGCTGTGCCGGAGGATGAGGCTTTCCTTAAAGCCTTGCTTTTCGAACTGCGCATCACGGACCAGCACTTCGTGGAGTACCGAGACACCTGCACTCGCCTTGACACCTCGCCCGTGTATTCGGTGCGCACCGAAGCGGGGGATCTCTGGCCCGTGGTGGCTTTTCAGAAGAGTGATCTGATCTACGCGTGTCTTGCACTGGTCGAGGAGCCCTTGAAGCCCCAGCCACCCATCTTCAGCATTAGTGGGATCCCACAAGGACTTGATCTTTTGATAGGCATTCAGGACTACATCTCTCCCAGTCGGAAGAATGAAGCCGAGTTGAGCGCCAAAATAGGCCAGCTCCGGAATTTGCTTCTGCAGGCCTGTCCCCTTGGCACCCCCTTACAGACAAACATCCGCAGCTTGAACAGCTCATTTGATGACATTCAGGACTTCTCTACRCACAGTGACCCGAAGCAGCCAGCTTGGAGAACCAACACGTATAAAGGCAAACCACACATTAATGTTTCCATCTCAGAAAAAGTCAAGTGCATGCAGTACGACCAAAAAGATATCATGGATGTGTGGCAGGTGTATGGAACTGTAACATGCAAGGTGAGAACATTTCTTGTGCGAGTCTGCCCAAACCACTTACCTTTCAGGCAAGCTGAAAAAGGAAATATTCAGCTCATTTTGCTTATTTGCTAGGTCTTTTGCTACCATAGTATTGGAAAGTGTCGCAGACCATTACATACTAGCAGGGAATCTTATTTTGATCTTTATTGTTATTTTCCTGCATTTCTCACTATTCGTGGGAGTTAAATTTCCAGCAGTAACTACATCCTGTGTATTTCTCCAAGTTTTTTTTTTTAGTGAAATAAGGAGAAATTCAGTGCAGTATTTGAATATAAAGACTAAGAAATGGTGATTTTAATGCCAAGTTTACTTCCAACAAGCTAATAGACGATATGTTTAATAATTTGTCAGAAACTGAATTCCTGAATAAGTCAGGATGTCTTCACATGAGTGGTTTTTTTTTTAATTAATTTTCTTACCAAACAAAAGTTTATGTTCTACCCTGCTTCACTGCAGTGTAACAACGGATAACAAATCCACAAGTTGCAGTTTTTATGACTGACATAAAAATAGTTGGTACAGAGTCTGGTGAACAAAAACATTTTTATAGTTTCTTGAGCATTATTGTACATGACAAAGTTATTCATTGTTCACGACTAGAAATCAGGGAGTTGATTAAAGATGTCAGTAATAATTACAAAATCTTAATGTAATATGAAATATGTTGATATTTGAATCATCTCTAACTACTGTGATGCTTTTATCACATTTAACCCTCCTCTTTGTCTCAAAGCGTGCTTAGGAAGCACGGTGCCTTATCACAGTGCATTGCATTTGTAATTTCTGCTGTTTGAAGAAGAGGAAGACCTTCTAATAAAGGAGATCGCGCTAATTTAATTATTAGCAAGAGGTGATGGGATCCTCATCAGCCAAGGAAGCCAACCTGAGCACTGCGCTTCTGAAGTCTAGGGTATTTCCCACCAGACATCGTGGCAGGGATTATGAGGTTGAACAGCTTCCTGCTCTCCGAGGGACAAGTTTCTAGGTCAYCTTGCAGAGTGGATGGCCTTACATAAAAAGCAAGCCCTGGTGTAACCATGTGCTGCTGAGCTGGCACGCGAAGGGCTGAGACAAGGGATGCTCTGCATGTGGCGGCTGAGAAAAAGCTGGCATGAGACCACGGTGGCCATTAAAAGCATGTTTGAATGCATTAACTATATTATTAGTTATATTAATATTAATTGTATTAATTATAAATTAGTGTGTTGATGTGAAACCAGCTGAATTAGATTGTCACTGAGTGTGTTTATATAACATTTATAATGATTTCGCTGCGAGTTCTTGACTTTCTTGTATGCTGTTYTCTAGATAAAGAATATTTACAAAATAAAAGCTATGTTGCCAAGGCTGTGGGCCAGTAGTCATGCTGTGTGAAAAGCAAGAAGGAAGGGGACTTTGCTTTGAAAGTGTTTTTCAGTACTAATATTTGAAACCAGTTGAATTTTTTCAATGTGCTAATATTTGCATTTGGTTTTTCAACATGCAATTCTGATTTGAGGGAAATATTTTAGAATAACTTCTTCATTTTTTTTTCAAGTGTGATATAGAGGGAGCTGCACCAAATGTCACACTCAGTTTGAATCTCCCTACTAATGGCTCTCCCCTCCAAGATATCGTGGTCCATCATTGTGTGACTTCCGTTGACCCTGCCATGTTCATGTCGACCAGCATCGACACGTCGGATGATTCTGCCTTTAGTGGACCATATAAATTCCCTATCATTCCTCCATCAGATTCGTTCGACTTGTGTTCCTACACTTCCCAGGTAAGAGCATCCCTGATCCTCATTGTTTTCTGGTCTGCAGAGAGATGTGCTTCACAAGGGAATAAAAATATCTGTTCTTCAGGTGCCCGTTCCACCAATTTTGGGACGTTATCAGCTGAACGAAGAGGGATCGCAGTTAAAAWTATCAGTTAATTTAAAGCTTCATGAAAGTATAAAGAATGCTTTTGAGTACTGTGAAGCTCGTATGCCTTTTCCTAACAGGTAAGAATAAGAACTCATGAATACATTCCTTGCTTTTCTCTGTAATCTTCCTAAAAGGAACCTATCAGAAATCAGTATTAAATGTTTGGCTACCTCAAAATAATGGCAGAGGAGACTGATGTAGTAAGGTGTCAAGAAACTCCTTTAGAAGTCTTGTAATTTCCAATTAGAATATTTCTTAATATTCTGAATAATTTCTTTTTTTTTAACATAACCTTTTTTCCTGAGTATTTTTTTCCATTGTGTGTAGTCACAATACTCCAAGTGGATTAAGTCTTGAGATCACTTCCAACCCAGGGTTACTGTTCCTTAAGTCTGCTAATCCTAGCTATAGATCAGCTTATCAAAAATATAGTTATTTAAAATTAAAATGATCGTTTTCATTTAAGCCTTTATGACAACTGCCATGAGTGTATTGTCACATAATTATCATGAAAATTTAAAGATGAAATGATACAAAGTTGCTGGTGCTGATAATAATGTTCGTAAAATACTCTCAGTGAACTGAAGACAGTGGAATATCAACAGTTTTCTTATGATTACTAGGTTGAAACCACAGTCATTTCCTCCTGCTCTATAATTTCTTTCCATAAATTAATGGTGTGTTTAGATTGGTATGATTTGTCTGTGTGCACATAAATAATGGCTTGCGGTATTTGTTACTTTCTTTAACAAAGCAACTGTTAACAAATACTGAATAATACAAATTTCAATGGCTTTAATACCCCTCTTTCATACCACAGGGGCCCAATCACTCATTTGGAATATAAAGTTAGTTATGGCCAACTGGATCTGTCACGAGAGAAGAGCTTACTGGTCTGGGTCATAGGTAAGCTGTGCACCCCTGAACCCTCCCACCTCTTCCCCCAGTCGGTCTTCCATATTCAGTGTGTAATAGATGCTGTTTCTGGCTTTAGGACAAAAGTTCCCTAAGTCTTTGGAAGTTTCTTTTACTGGAACTGTGGCTTTTGGCCCTAAAACTGAAGAGAACACGACTGATATCATTTGCACTGGGAACACGGCTTATGTAAAAGTAAGTTGCAGTCTAAGGAAAGATGCCTTAGTAATCTTTTTTTTATTTTTTTATTCTTAAATTGGCTGTGAAGACAACATTGATTTTGACCAGACCTCTTTGTTCTCAGTATGGACTTTTCTGTTTTCTTGCCTGCAGCATATGGTATCCTTGCCATTTTGGGATACACTTGCACACCAAGAGCATGTAACATAAATACAGTAAGCGTAACAGCATGCGTCTGATTGTGTTTTCCTCTCTTTCTCTAGCTGTATTTTAGGATTCCCGACTTCACACTTACTGGATGTTATGTAGACCAGCATTCTGTTCAGCTCTTTACACCAGGCAAACCAAAAATCAATTCATGTGAGTTACCARACATTGATTTAGCTGAAACCTTGTAGTGAAGTTATGAATTGGATATCAGTGGCTAAAAATAAGTAGCTAAAATTGGGCAGTTAAAAAGGAAAAATCCTAGTTTCCTTGAGGGAGACAGAGAGAGAACCCCTCTGTGTAGCCTGGCCTCTTGGTTACAAGAGCAGAAGATGGAAACCAAGTCTGCTTTTCCATGAATTAACACGAATAGTTCCAAGTCTGCACCAAAAACATTACTAATTGCAAACACCATAGCCATTTGTTAAATCTGAGCAGTCATGTCTATTGAAAGCATTTTTATGTGTTGCTTTGTATCTCTTTTCACTTCTGCTAGTCATGTTAGCAGAAGCCTAGAAACGCATTTAAAAAATGGCTATTCGTTTTGTGACAGGTTATATTCAGTCCTCAATTATAACACCAAAAAACATTATTTTTGTACTGTATATTTTATATCAAATATGTAATTTATATTCATTGAACAAAATCCAAGACATCCACCTGCTTTTGACTTAACCTCTGTTTGAATTTTAAGCTTATGACTGATATATTAGTAAAGGTAATTGAAGCTGAGACTTTAAATGTTTCATTATCAGAAACAATTTTCAAATAATAATAAGAGCCTTAGAGTTTAAAGAGGCCATTAAACCTTTTCTGTAAACTAGTAAGATTGGATTAGTAGTCTTTTAACTGGGATGAAGGAATGTCTGATTGTAAGGCACCTCMTAATGCTAATTTCTCTTGCCTGTTTTTTAGCCCGGGAGCTGACTTCCTGTGATTACTACATCTGGAATTCCAAAGCATCGGCACCTATCATGTACAAAACCATATTTACTAATGAATGATTTATTTATTTAAACAACAATAAAAAACAGCTAATTAATGTTAGTGATACAATAAAAAAATGCAGCATTTTTGATGTGTATGCCTCTTAAAAAATCTGTTGTGAGAAAGACTGAAAGAATTTGGTTTTCTTAACCATTTAAAAACAACTTATGCTCATTAAGTCCTGGATAGCAGCTTAGAGAAGGAAATGAAAGGGTACTTGCCCTGCCCATTTTTATGTCCGTTTTAAGATKAACTGGTGCAAAATAAGTACCCGGTGATGCGGGTGATGTCGACTGGTGTGGCTGAACATGTCCTCCCAAGATGATTCACAGTTACCTCACTGACTTTGTAAAGCAAAGGCTTCACCAGGTCATGAAAGCTTTCAATGTCTTACTCCTGTCCTGAAGGTACAAGAATCTTCTTAAACCCAGATTAACAGGAGAGTTAAAACCAAGAGAGTTCCCTTCTTCTGGCAAGATGATTTTGTGCAGAAACGAGTACCAGATATGGCAGAGCCAATAATATAAAAGAATTTTAAGAGAGGCAGAGTGATACGAGATGTCATTTTACAAGAGGGGATGACAGAGGAGTCTTCATTGCTCCTGTCTGCAGAGGTAATGAGTTTGTTTTCATATCTGCCTGCAAACTGCATTGTTCTGAGAGCTGAATTACTGAGTGCAGAAATGTGAACCTGATTTTTAAAGGCACAAGTCTAACTCTGAGCAGACAAAAACAGCTACGTCTGCTGGAGGTTCCAAGAAGCATCAACGAGCCATTTTCCCCAGAAAAAAAAAAAATATAGACTTAAAGGAAAAGGACTCAGCTTACAGAGGAAACCTCTAATTTTGAGAAGAAAATTGGTATCTGCAGGAACACAGGAAATGGAGTTATCAGGAAATGAGCAAATTCTGAAAGGCTGGTGAAAAACTGAGGAAACCTGGAGAGCAGCACAAAAGAAGAGAAGAATGCGGTCTAATAACTGAGCGTGCCGGCTGCTCCTGCCCTACCTCTTGTTTAACTGTACGCTGTGTGATAAATAAGATTAGTGATTATGTAAGGAGAAAAGTTTTAAGCTATAATTTAAAAAATGCTTAGATTGAGATAGTAATCTAATTGGTTGGTTAAATGTTCTAAAGAATGGATTAATTCATGTGAGACATGCCGTTCGCCTGCAACTGCTATGCAAACTTATCAAGGAGAGCTCTGCTATGACCCATTTCACAAAGATGCTGCGAGTCTGTTGTGTTTAGCAGGCAAAAGGTGAATTAATGAATTTGCTTTGGGTCCAACCCTCATCTTAGGCAGCTGCATGCCTTGACACCACAGTGTGCATGGGGACAGGGGGTGTCTCTACTGCAGCAGTTCAGATCATGCACCGTGTGCTGGGCACATCTCAGTATGTGGGGTGGGCTTCCAGCCTTCCCATGAGAAGCGCGGACACTGTCTATGTGGCAGAGCATCCCATGGGAGAAATGGCTTTTCTCCTTTGCAGGTGTCTGAAGAACCCTCCCCAGGAAATGGTCTGCAGTGATGGGACTGCAGAAACTCTCGTGGCACTAGAACAAGAGAGTCCTCTTGCAATTCAAAGCATGGAGGTCTTCCCACATCATGTTCCTTTTTGGGTTTCCTTTTGCCTGTATTTCCAGCTTCTGTCAAGATTAGGACATCTACAGTACTCAGGAATGTGAGCTTAGTCTTGGGTGCTGCTCTCAATGTCGGTTTGGATGGAGGGTGGCTGATGCTTCTCTTCTAACCATGAGTGACTTTATACATCTGTGAGACATCAGCACTGATATAGAGAGGTTGTGATTAAGCCTTTCTCCTGGTTTGATGGCTACACTTCTGTTTTGGGAAGGGGAAAGGCTGAATCTCCAGGATGCTTAGGAAGCTTGAGCCTTCGTAAGTTCAGATGAGGGTGTCTCCTGTGTATGGAGGAGCTGGGTTTGCATCCTCATGGAGAAGAAGGGTAGTGAACATGTGTTCTCCACCCCCTGTGAGGTAAAAGGAAGGAACAAGCTGATTTTCTCATTGGCAATAGCAGCCTTTTCCATAACAACTAACCTGTGAGAGCTGCTTGAACCACTGCCATCTTATGCAGAGGAGATAAGCAGAGGAACACTTGATCTCGTTCAAACTAGACAACAAGCAACTCGGCTGTGTCATGACTGAGGTAACTTTAGTCATGCCTTGCAGAACATAGGGCATGAGAGAGAAATTAAGTGCTGTGGGTGAAGGTATAGAATCCTTAAGGTTGGAAGGGACCTTTAGAGATCATCTGGTCCAACCCCCCTGCACACACAGAGTGACCTAGAGCACGTGGCACAGGGTGGYGTCCAAGCAGGTTTGGAAGATCTCCAGAGAAGGAGACTCAAAAACGTCTCTGGGCAGCCTGGGCCAGGGCTCRGGCACCCTCACTATCAAGAAATTTTTCCTTAAGTTCCTGTGGAACTTTTGGTGCTTCAGTTTGTGGCCATTTCCTCTAGTCCTGTCGCTGGCCACCACTGAAAAGAGGCCGCTCCTCCTCCTCACTGCCTCCTTTGAGGTATCTATAGACACTGATCAGGTSSCCCCTCAGCCTTCTCTTCTCCAGGCTGAACAGGCCCAGCTCCCTCAGCCTTTGCTCATAGGGCAGACACACCAGGCACCTGATCATCCTGGTAGCCCTGCDCTGGACTCTCTCCAGCAGCTCCACATCCCTCTTGTACTGGGGAGCCCAGAACTGGGTGGACACAGTCTCCAGATGTGACCTCACCAGGGCCGTGTATAGGGGGACGATCACCTCCCTCGACCTGCTGGAGAYGCTCTTCTTAATGCACACTGCTGCCTCATGGTCAACTTGTCGTCCACCATGATGCTCACATCCTTCTCTGCAGAGCTGCTCTCCAGAGGTCAGTCCCCAATCTGTACTGATGCATGGGCAATTCCTCCCCAAGAGGTTTCAGGTGCCTCCAGAAGTAGGTAGAAAACAGGAGGTATAGGAAAAGACTACAGTTTTGGCCTTCCTGGAAGGCAATGTTCAWGGAGTTATAAATGACTAAGCCGTTCTCTAGATCTTTGTGCATTCCCTGGTAATTTCTCCAACAGCTTCACTGTTTCTCTATTTGCTCTAACCATTTTTTTTTTTATGTTCATATGAGGGAGAAAAGGGCATTAAAAATTAAATAGGGAAGATGTAATTATAAGCTCACCAGAGTCTGAGGACTACATGACAGTGGTGGCATCTAGCAGTAGTTCTGGTGGGCAGGGGATTGAGCACTCTATCTGTTGTTTAACAATTTAAAGTACTAACACCTCCTTTAAAGATGATACAATTGCTTAAAAATACTCAGATTTGAAGAGAAAAATTAAGAATTCTCTTGTAGCACAGAGCACTGTTTCTTCAAATGAACTCTTGCTGCTTCAAGTGCTTGGGATATATAATTTCCTCGATGATGTAGATTGCATGCAAATACATGAAGATAGTTTTGCACRAAGAGTTGTAAAATAGCTCTCTCAAGTTCTTCTGACTTAATAGTGCATTTCAAACAACTAGAAGAAAATGAATGTGCACAGCTTTGACAAGAATAAACAGAAAGACTTAAAAGCGTTGCCTTACCAACCTGGCATGACCCCCCCCCCCAAAAAAAAACAGTGGATATAAATAAGCATAAAGTTAATATTGAACTCACTTCATTAATAAAAATGAACTCTGTTTCATGGAATTCTGGAGTAATACAAGTAATGGCAACTAACATGAATTTATAGCAGAACTTCTTGGATGAGATTGCAAGTTCAATTGGAAAGGATAGTAGGGTTGATGTAGCAGATCCCTATGAAATTAAAGGACAGCAAAGTTCATGTGTAACCYATTAAATACAGTAAAAAATAGCTGACATTTCAGAGTGCAATAGCAATAAGGAACAGTCATCAAAATGTTTTAGATTCCAACTGTTGTGACTTAATAGTTTGTGGAAGAAAGCACAATTTCCATTGATGAAATTTGTGGACGGGGCAATAACTGAGAAGTAGAGATTAATGAAAATACTGAAAAACCACATCCAGAATGATGTGGCAAAGCCAAAAGTAGATGTTCCAGCACAAGCAGTCACAATAGTATCTTCTGGAACAGATGCCATCTACACAGGGTGAGAGGAAGAGGGAGCTGAGGGGGATACAAGACCCAAAAAGACTTAGTCCAAGGCTGAGGTGTGCATTGTTGTGGCCAAAAGGACCAATATAATCATTGAGTGTTTATGGAAGAAAAACATAGCAGGAGGAGTACTTGGCAATGGTGAGAGCACTTGGCAACTCTCCTGAGCATACAGTGCCCCCTTTCCTAGAAAAATGTACAGTTTGGGGGACTTTTGAGACAAGCCATGAGGAGGTCAAGGACTAAAAGACATATTTTAGGGCAGAGCATTCCAGGAATATGTAGGTAGGTAGGTAGGTATCTATGTATTTATACACAATATCTGCCACTTGCAGGGGATCAATGCTTTGGGGTGCAGGGTTGGAAGCGGCCTAGAGAGTACATACCCGCACTCTGAAGGGACTGTTTATCCTTAAACCTTCCAAGGAATGTTCCCTAACCCCCCCATCATTCGACCCTAGCTGATTTTCATGTTCTTATCATGGAATACATTTCTCCTAAAGGGGCCTGGTTCTTCCACACCCGCCTACCCCTCAGTCACCATGCTTCCCTTGGCATGGCCTACCTCTCTTTCCAAGTGTTGTGTCCCAAAGACATACACTGTCCTGAGGTGTCGAGGTGAGGAGCAGGATCCCCTTCAATGTCCTATGTGCTCTCCTCCTCCTCCAAAGCCCAACCAGCCTTGATGGCCATTAGCTTTGCCACTCTCAAGTGTCCTCAACCTGCTCGTGAGGCCTGTTTCTCCCACTGCAGAAAGGAATTAGTGCACATAACAGCACYGGCTGCTGGCAAATCCATACTGGCTGTTACTTATCCCTGCTCTATTTACTCTGTTTAGAAATATTTTATACTGTTCTGGTATTCCRGAAGTCCACTCCTCCCACCAGGGTCCTAAAGT